CAGCCTGCATCACAACTTCCGTCACAAGCTATTCCCGTCGATGTATGTGACCATGCCGGAGAAGGAACGCATGTATGGAAATTCTGTACTACCGTAGAAATGCTTCGAAGCGCAAATTAACATTATTTTCAAACAAAATGGTGCATGATCACTACGTTTTATGTAGCTGAGCACCCACCCACATGTTTTAGGTCAATACTAGCAAGGGCTTTAGAAGTCACCTTTCTGGCCAGGCACATCGTAAGAATTCAGCCTCTACTACGGCCGGTGAGTAAGAAGCAGAGTTTTACAATTAAAAAGCTACTCAATCAACCAAAGTAATTAAGACAAAACTGTTGGTGGCCGTGCACACCTCTATTAGACATGATTTAGTGAAAAAAATCAGCACCATATAAGGCGGGTTTCATCCTGAAATCCCGTATGCAAATAGCGTATTCTTACGGATGTGCTAGGAGCAGTAAGGTCTTTGATAAAGCCCGAAAACTATAGCCCAGCGAATATATATTTCTCACTGAGTGTTGAGGCTTTGCGTTCATAGGCCACACTTGTCAATGTTCTTAGAGTGTGTAATATTAAACAGCAATGCAATCATTCGCAATGATATTTTGAGATGTCATGGCAGCAGGCCTTTATTTTAAAAGAACGCTACTGTCACAATTCAGGCCTTTATTCTAATCGATTATACAGCAGAATCTGCAAGGTTTAAACACATGCCAAATGATTATTTCCGAGCGCGTTAGCGTGAGGCAACTACTTCGGGTTGTATATGCGTACGTACGTGTCAGTCACGCTTAAGAATGCCAATTAGTTAAGATTAGGGAATTCAATTACGCTTAGGAATGTCCATTTCCGCCGTGCGCGCAGATTCGCAGGAAGTTTGGCTTCGCGGCCAGTCAGTAGAGCGCGCGCCCGAGCGGCCTCAGTCGGACTGTTTTTGGCGAGGTAAAATTTGCGCGTGCGCAACACTTACTAGAAGCAGTGGGTCTTAGTTGGCAGAGTACATGGTTATCTTCATAAGCCTCACTGGAATAGGCATCCAACACAAGCAAGGGTTACTTTCCTCCTGCAGGTGTCTCACTACTTGTGTATATTATAACTTTTGCAACCTAACACCTCCTGCTCCTAGTGGTAAGTCAGAGTACGTCTCCTGCGAGAGTCAGCCATAGTCAAATACTGCCACCCTGGTCACAACGTACATGGTCATATTCTGCTGGAGAAAGTTTTACACATGGCTACTAGCAATTCATCTGTCACAGGTTCACCTATTACGTTATATATAGCTGAATCAGCATAATAACCAAACACGTCAGGGGCAGGTTTATACCACAGTGAGGTGTGGCTTTACATAATTATTGTTGCCAGTTGCGTCTTTCTTTAGACTCACATGTAGCTATAACAGAGTTAGGAAACAAATGTACAATGTGGTACGTAGTAAATGCATTAAGGCAATAAAAATCTAAAAGATCGTAGTTATTAGCGACTAAGGTTGCGATCTATCTCAGTCATAATATGTTAATTATCCAGCTCTGTGGCAATTTTATACCATGAGCAACATGACCAGCAAACCAAGCAGGTACATTTTCGATTGTAGAGCAAATGCTGATGCGGCATCAACTTCGTTGCTCTTCTCAAAACGCATAAAGATCACATAGCCACTTTCAGGAATGTTGTAATTGGACACACCAAGATTGGACAGCACAGGATTGGGACTTTCTGGTGTTTGCACGTAGAAAAACCAAAAACAGGGGTTGCTTGAAGACGTCCCATTAATTGAATCGATAAAGAAACCCAAGGTTGATCCAAAGTATGTTGCTGTAAAGCGATAGTCACGGCTGACGTCCACAGATGCTTCAATTACCCTTAGTGCCGCCCCATTGGCAGGAATTGTTACACTTATGGGATCAAGAGGGTCATTCTTTGAAGATGGCGGGCAATTTCCCATGTCGGTGTACTGAAAAGCATACTGCACAACAACAGTTGGTACATCACACGACATCTCCTGTGTGTGAACAAAACGTAATACTTCAACGAATGCGACAGAACTATGATAAGCTAATGCAAATGTCAATGTCAAAATCACACCATTAAGATGCCTAGCAAGGCTCACTAGCCTTAGTTCGCCAAAAATGTTACAGTCTACAAACTTCCTATGTACATAGTAAGATTTATGGTCCAATTGTGTGTGCTACCTTTCTAGAAACATGTTGGAGCACACCCTTAAATTTACATACATACATCTGTGTTGTTAGCTGGAGTTCCAGAATCATGTTCCTCCTTAAATTCTTCGTAACGCATAAATATGGAGTAACCGCTTGTAGGAATGATGAAGTTGGACACACCAAGATTAGAGAGCACTGGATTAGGAAGTCCCGGTGCTTGATAATAGAAGAACCAGTAACAGGGATTGTCTCAAGATGTACCATTTATTGCATCAATAAAGTAGCCCAAGGTAGATCCAAAGTAAGTCGCTGTAAAGCGATATGAACTGTCCACATCGACTGATGCTTCCATGACATTTTGTGCTACTCCATTGGCGGGAATTGTAACACTTATTGGATCACTGCCCGAAGTATTCGTGGGGCAATTTTCCGCGTCAGAATACTGGAAAGTATACTCCACGTCAATTGGTGTTGACTCAACATCACACTTCTAAAAATAAAAACAAACGTTAGATAAAGGAGGTATAGTATTGCTTAGAACAGCCAGGTGTGACAGATTCAATGAGTGAGAAGGGCACTTGTATATATGACACTTTCACCTTCCCCCCCCCTCCCCCCCCCCTTCCATTTATTTACCGAAGATTGTAGCCTAGTTATGAAAGATTCCGCCTTTAGTACATTAGCAGTACCCGTCACCACACTGTTAATACCGCTGACGCTGGCACAGTAGGTTTTTTGTACACCATGCACACTCAGCAAATATTGTGCAAACTGTTATGACAGGCTACTATATATGCCCCGGCTACAAAGGGTATGCTGGTAATATACCCGAGGTGTTTGTCAGTATTTACCACACGAAGGCGCAGTAGGATTTATGTGTACAGAGGGACCAGCTACAATTTCCTATGCTATAACACCACTCCACTATGATATTACTGCCGTGCCAAAAGCTGCAAGGCCTCTTATAAAGCTCAAACGATTTAACAAATGGCGAATATAGAGATGGTATGAAAAGAAAGAATACAAGATAGGGATGACCTAGTGTGTGTGATGCAGTTAATTTTCCTCCACGCAAATCCTATATTGTTTCGAAGCATGAGGGTGCTCCCTCGGTGTGCAGCTACGACTCATTTACTAAAAAGTACTAAAGTGCAAACCCTCGGCAAACTGCGCATACGCGGACCGCTAATTGCTGGACTGGGCTAGTCACAGGGAGGGATGCTGTAGGTGGAAGGTCCAGCACTGGGGATGGTGCGGGAGGGAGGTCGGGAACGTGAAGGTGCGGGAGCGAGGGCGAGAACGTCAAGGTTCTGGCAACCACCCGCCCGACTCGGTAAACAATTAATGCACACCCGGCCCTGCTCCACACAAACACTTCCCATGACCGTTACAACGCCAGCAAACCGGTGCTGTTAACCTTTTACGGCCTGCCCATGGTCGTTTAACACCAGCAAGAGGCTGCATCGCTGGGAGAGACGAGCTGGCTGGAGCAAAGGACGGGGTGGGGGGTAAGCGCCTGCTCATCCTCTCGATTCGAGACTGAGGCCCGAACAAATCAGACAAAGGGGCGTCGGCGTTAGTTGTGGTTACGTTGACGAGGGAGAGTATATTAGAAACAGCTGCAAGAAAGGGTGTTGCCGCCATCTTATCACTCTCAGTTCTCGAGGGAGTCGATACACGCCCATTGTTGTGACTTCTTGTGCCTTCAAGATGCACAGAGCAAGCAGATCCACTCAAGGTAAGCCTGACATATTGGCTTTTTCGCTTGTGTTTCACGCCATAACTCTCGAAAACATCAGTTTGTGAGAAAACGCTACGTATTCGTTTTCGACCTATAAGGTAAATGGGGGTAACACCGGACGCGGAGGTAACTCTGGACATGGGGCGTTGCACCGGCCTGGAAATTATTCATTGTGAAAAAAACCTGAGAAAGATTTGTTAGTGCTTTGGTGGGTAGTAATCAAGTGAAATATATCCGAATCTTTCTCTCCTTTTTTGAATAGCGAGTTATGTCCGTGTATTACCCCGTGTCCGAAATTACCCCCACGCGACGCCGACGTTTGTGGAGCAATTGATGGCTCGTGAAGTGATACGTTGGGTAATACAGACCGACACACACATACCGTAACCCTCGCTCTGCATGCGCGCCAAGGATTAATGCACAGCCGTTATCCTCTCCGACAGCTCCACTGCTGTTTGACTTGTGATTGCATTGTCTAAGAGTTCCATGTTCACTCCACTACACTGCTGCATTATTAGCCTTGCACAGCATCCCTTCACCATTGTCCTCACCGAGGGGTCCGACACGGCTGGAAATCTCGTACGCTTATTGTCAGAAATCCGTAGAAATCAGTTGGAAGTCAAGCGAAAAGAGGAAATCAGAAATAAAGTCGCGCTGCTGTTTCTGCTCCGTATAGCTCCAATCACTATAGTAATGTACAAGGCCGGCCCCGTAAACTACAAGCCAGGTACCACACTGTCGCGAGGTAAGGCGTGCCTCCGCTATATATGTATAGTGTGTGCCTATGCCTAGCTATGCGTACACCACGCTCAGGGTGTTGCACAAAACAAAGGAATTGTAAGTCCATAAGGGTAGGGCCTTGGCCTCGGCCTAGGGCTGGAAATGCCAGGATAGCAGCCGGAGAGCACGCCGAATAGGAACCTGGTAAAAACTCCCTTGGGACTCCTACCACTTTGCCTACAACAACTTGAACCTTGCGTGGTTGTTTCACAAGAATATAATAATATACTCTGAGAACATGAAATGACCAAACCACTAACAGTGGTACGTTACAGGCACATAAGTGAAATTGTTCCTTGCTGGCTGTTTCTGTAGCTGGCTATATATGGCATAGATTTCTCATGTGCGCCGGCGACCTGAGGCGCACGAATACTGTTCGTGCCATTAACTCCTCTTTACGGAGTGTACAGTTATAGCTAGCAGTAAATCCTCGAGAGACCGAGAAATCAATGGAAATAAACTTAGAAATCCCAGTAGATATGACGTTGACATCTGGAAATCTCTTGAAATCACGGATATCAAGTTGAAATCTGGAAATCAGTAAGAAATCAAGAAATCACTTAGAACTCACGGGCTTTTAGAAATCTCGTACGTCATAACGGCCTGTGTCGGACCCCTAGGTACTGACACTTTGCATCATTTAACAAACTCATGTTAGCAAAAGTGGCGAAAATAAAGGGCTTGTGCAGAGGAAATCTACACGTGTCAGGTACGGAGCAATCATCCACTGTTGCCTACTAGAGTTAGAAAAGTTAGTATCATTTGTGTCACACTTCCTTATCAAGAGTAATGCAGCTATCCGGGCTTCCCTCCTGGCAACAAAGAAGCTAATTTGCGCAACACTGCAGTGAGGGGACAGCGAGCTCGCTGTGTAAAGGCAACAAAGTAATTGTTGCCTTCACTTTCCGTCTGTGACAACATGGGCTACGTTGGCACAGTTGTGACGTCATTAACTAGGGCCGTAACCATCTGGCACTCAGTCCCAGGCAACAGCTAATACTTGCACCACTGCATCACATACACTTAGGTCATCCCTATCTTGTCTCCTTGCTTCTTATACCATCACTATATTCACCATTTGAATACCTCTGTTCCTTTTCTACTGGATGGTGTGTAATACAATGGGGAGATTTTGGGGCATAATTTCCATTGAAAAGTAGCATTAGCGGCTCAAGGTTTTTATTGTGACAGACTGTTTACATGTTATTTACATGAGTGCACCAAAGTTTTATTGTTGGAGGACCCCGCAAAATTTGTTATTGCTTGAGGTGGTTGTTTTTGTTTAGAAACTTGTAATTTCGACTCATATCATGGTACATCAGTGTACCAACTTTAATAGTTAGAGGACTGAAAATACACAAATGTATTGCAACAAACCTATTTACGTACGAGTAAATCTAGTACTGTAATCATTGAACGAGGATGCGGTCGTAAAGCTGATAAGGCACTCGGTTTGCTGTTGTTTACAAACCTGTCATTTTTGTTTGGATGTAATTCAAACGCATGCACAGTTAGAGACGACGTACTGTGACATTGTATATAGAATATCGCGCCATTTGGACCACTCGCTCCCACTCCCTAATGATACTGTTGCACGTGTTACTATCGTTGCAAGTATTGGCATTGAGGTGGCGGTTCACTAGGCCTTGACGAAATTTGCTAGCATAATTTTGAGCAAAATAGGTAGCAAAGTAAATGAGCAATTCTGCTAGCAAAATGGGCTCAACCTACTTCTAGAAACGAAAGGAAAGCTACAGCTAGCAAATAAAAATCCCGCGTACAAGGGGAGAATATTCGGGACAATGTACAATAACAGACACTATTAACACTCCAATGACGAATGCTCTGTCATACACAAAGAATACAGAGGTAGCGAAAAGCACTAAAGTGCAAACCCTTGGCGCACCATGCACGTGTGTACGCACGCGCAGTACCACTAACTGATCGACAGGACCGCGAGTATGTCCCAGCGTTGTAAACTTCTGGTGCCCCCAATGTAATATACGCAGAACTATAGCGTTCTAATTTGCAAATGGCTTTTCACTTGGATATAACGCAATAATATTGGAATGCAGTGCTCGAATGAAATTGTGCAAAATTTTGAATGTAGTGCTCAACCTCTTAGTATCGCTATTTTGTTGTCTAGTTATGCGTGGTAGCAGAACAAACAGACAGAGAGACAGACAAAATAACTAATCAACCAAATACCGTAACCCTCGCTGCGCATGCGCCGCCGAGGGTTAATTAAGGTGCGAAGAAAGGACTTAGGCCTCTCACTCTGCTCACCTAATAAAAAGGAGGAACGAAAGACACGTATACATACCTCATCTTCCCCACTGTACTTTTCATAACGCATAAAAACTGAGTATCCACTGGTAGGAATGAGATAACTGGATAAACCAAGGTTAGACAGCACTGGATTTGGGCTTCCCGGTGGTTGAATGTAGAAAAACCAGAAACAGGGATTGCTTGAAGATGTCCCATTGATTGCTCCAATAGAGTAACCCAAGGTCGGGCTAAAGTATGTTGCTGTAAAGCGATAGGCACGGTCAACATTTACTGATGCCTCCAACACACTTAGAGCCTCCCCATTGGCAGGAATCGTCACACTTATGGGATCAAGGGCATCATTCTCTGTAGATGGAGGGCAACTGTTCACGTCCGTGTACTGAAAAACATACTCCACAACAACAGTGTCAACATCACACTTTGAAGTGTCCTGCAGTAACAGAAAAAGATTTCAAAATACAGAGGGTCCCTGTCAATATCCTACTCTCGTTGAAAACTAATCGTACAACAGCAAGCGGGATATCTTTGTACGCAGGAATGCACTTCTACAATGTGGAGTTTGTGCACAGATGAGTCAGATTGCTACGTAAACAAGAATATACGATGGAGGATGGCATAAAAATAAAGGGAGGCAAGTCATGAGTAAGACACATGAAGCATGGTTAATGAACAGATCTGAGCATGCTGACACCGCTGGCCCCATCACACATCCATATATTGCTGCCTGGCATGCCACTCTTGTAACTCAATTTGGACTCTATAATTCTGTTGTATCAGTATCAGAGCGTTGGTAGACGCTCTATATGGGGATGGCACGAGTGAAATCTCACGTGATCCGCGTACAAAACGACTCAAAACTCAGCGAGAATCACTCACCATGGCTTCAAAATCACTAGCAATAGTCTAGAGGCCAATACCTACAGCTATACATATGCCCCAAGACTTCCTACGTGCCCTCAGTTCCCCACCAGAGATCTCTATTACGCCATTTCGCGTTATCACATTATTCTTCTTCTTCAGACCCACTAGCTCCTTACCGGAAACAGTTGAAGAGTCGATTTTTTCACAGAACGTCTCCACATTTTCCAGAGGTGCACGCATACCTAGCGATCTCTTGTTTCTTGCCGCAAGTCACTACGATAGATCGTTGAGCTCTTCCACGGTAGTCACCGAACAACACCATTCGCTGCTAACTCGGCATCAGTGAGCCGCATGCGCCGAGGAGGGCGTTTCCCCAATGCGGTGGGCGCGCATAGTCTCGTGCGTGAACCAGGTCCACGAGACTAAGCGAGGATGCCTGCAGAGGAACTCTTATCCTCCAGAGCCTTCTGTAAGTCAGTATGCACATTTTTAACTGGCTAGCTTGCGTTTTGCTGTTGATTTGCACGAGAAGCAACTTGGCAGTGTGCGCCGTGTTACGCGGGCCTTGCCCAGCGCCTTCATTCTTTGTCCCCCAGGTTATAGCTATCATTGTAGTCTGATTGCTCATGAAACCACCACCATATGTGCCACAACCTAATTGCATCCTTGTTGGAGACACTACGCATACACCCTGCTTCAGATAGGAGCAGCCCATTAGCTTCTGCTTTCAACAGTTATCTCTACAACACCCATGAACATCAGAGTGACTGAAAATGCAGTGTTGTCATAAGGCGTGAAAAATAGTGGAAACAAGTGGGAATATCATTTCTTCAAAATGAAGCTGGATATAGCTAATGGATGGCTTGTTTATAGCACCAAAATGGTAACACAAGGGGTCATTACACAGCAAAGATGCATGACACCATCCCTATATTTTTGTGTTATTGTAAAGTTTAATATAAGACAAAGATATAGGGATGGTGTCATGTAGCTTTGTGCATCTTTGATGAATGACCCCTCGTTTCTTCCTTTTTAGTGCTTCAAGCCATCCCCATGTCCCCCTTCATTTTGAAGAAATGATTTTTCCACTTGTATTCAGTTGGATGGCTTTTTTGTACTTATAGGTCCTGAGGTATTTTTGAACTGAACGTTCACCTAGGCAACAATAATTATTATAGGGATTCTGCGACGGGGTTGGTGTTTCAGCGTGTTCAAATGCATTCAATAACCATGCTTTTCTCTCTCTCTCTCGTTTTGCATGTGACCTTTGACCCAAAAAGTTAAGCGGAGAGAGGGCATGGTACATTAGGTTACGAGAGCTAACGCGTTGACCGTTTCAACGCTGGTGCGTGCATTTGGGTAGACAAGGTTTCACACTACGGCAACGTGACCAACGCGAACCCATCGACAACGGTCCGATCTGAACTTGGAAAAGACGGACGAAGGGAAGAGCCTCCTTGCGATGGACAGCTTTTGTGGGCTGAACCTCGCGACCTACAAGCAATCACGAGCCTCCGATACGCCAGGTGACTGGCAGGCAGAGTACGGAATACCAAATGCGACAAAAGAAGAGCGCTCGTTGCGATTCCCGATTTCGATCGTCAATTCCTGCTTTTCAATTGTGGATTCTTTTTTTGATTAGCAATTCGTGTCGATTTTCGATTGCTGGTGATCAATCATCGGTTCCTGATTTTTGAATATCGATTGCTGTTTTTCGATTATCGATTCCTGATTTTCGATTATCGACACTTACTGATACAATATTGCAGATTTTTTGGTGAATGGTTCGAGATGCGAGCTAGTCTCGAAATAAGACACCACCCTCTAAAGAGGATAATGTCGGTTGTGCTGAATCAGAAGCCTTGTGATCATTACAAAACTGCATGCAAGTAAGTTCGGATACGCTAACGAATACACGACGTACACGGAGCATGTAGCTCTATGTGGTTACATACCGTACGTGACGTTAAACGATTTACCGAAAATATTCCTGGCCAGAGAGCGGGGTATGGGCACAAGACTAATCATGCATCCTGGTTTCCGTAAATTCCCGTTATCTCAAAACTCACGCAAGCGTAATATTGCATTGAGCGTTACGAAAAATAGCCATCGATAATGGAAAAAACAAATAAAACATCGAAAATTGGGAATCGCAACGAATGCTCTATTTATGTCGCATTTGGCGTTCAATAGCGGAGCGGCCCCACACAAATACTCCACGCATCATGCACATACGTATTGCTAGACTGTAAGCTCTTCCCTCCGTCCGTCTTTTCCAAGTTCAGCTCAGACTGTGGTCGTGTGCGTTCGCATTGGTCACGCAGCACTAGTGTAAAACGCTGTCTACCTAGGAGCTAACGATAGGAGGAGGTTGGACAAGAATCCACATGAAGTGGGACCTCCCCTTTTTCCGCTTAACTCTTGGGGCCAAAGTTCACATTCTAAATTGTCTGTGGAGAGAAAGGGCATGGGAACAAGGCTAGCTTCATGCATTCCATCCCTTATCTCGCCTCTGTTTCGTTTTATCCCTGTATGTCTCTAATTCGCAAGATTTTAAATTCACTTCTCTCCACTCATTTTTATGATGCTACTACGCGTATCTCTGAGAAAGGGGGCAAAAATTTATAATAGAAAAGAAATGTTGTTCTTTTACAAGCATATGGTCGGTATGGAAACGATGTATCAGAGAGTCGGTAGACTCTCTATATAGGGACGACACGGGTGAAATCTCACGTGATCCGCGTACAAAACCACTAAAATCTCGGTGAGAATCACTCCCTAGGCCTTCAAAACATACTAGCAATAGTCTACGGGCCCATATCTACCTATACATGTCCCCCAAGACCTCATACGCACCTTCAGTCGTCCACGCGAGAATTCGCTCATACGCGATTTCACGATTTTCGTGTCATCATCATATTCTTCATCTTCTTCTTCTTCTTCAGACCCGCTAGCTCCTTACCGGAAGCACTTGAAGCGTTGATTTTTTCACAGAACGTCTCCGAATTTGCCGGAGGTGTGCATGCATATCAAGCGATCGTTTCTTTCTTGCCGCAAGTCACTACGGTAGATCGTTGAGCTCTTCCTCGGTAGTCACTGAACAACGCCATTTGTTGCTAACTCAGCATCAGTGAGCCGCATGCGCCGAGGAGGGCGTTTCCAATGCGGCGCGCGCGCATTTTGTCTCGTAAACCTGGTCCACGAACGAGACTAAGCCAGGACTGGATGCCTTCAGAGAAAACTACTCTCATCCTTCGGTGCCTTCTGTAAGTCAGTGTGCACTGCGTTTTGCTGTTGATTTGCACGAGGAGAAACTTGGCAATCTGCGCCGTGTTACGCGTGCCTTGCCAGGCGCCTTCATTCTTTGTCCCCCAGGTTATAGCTATCATTGTAGTCTGATTACTGAAGCCTGCCTATGAAACCACCCCACCATATGTGCCACAATCTAATTGCATCCTTGTTGGAGACACTACACATACACCCTGCTTCAGGTAGGAGCAGCCCATTAGCTTCTGCTTTCAACAGTTATCTCTACAACACCCATGAACATCAGAGTGACTGAAAAGGCAGTGTTGTCATAAGGCGTGAAAAATAGTGGAAACAAGTGGAAAAATCATTTCTTCAAAATGAAAGGGGGATATAGGGATGGCTTGAAGCACCAAAAAGGAAGAAACAAGGGGTCATTACACAGCAAAGATGCACAAAGCTACATGACACCATCCCTATATCTTTGTGTTATTGTTCACAACCAATCTCGCCCTGCTGACATTTTCCTCCCTAATTGGGAAAGAGCCGCGCTTGCCGTCTCCGTCATTTCCACTCTGCAACAGTTTACCTTGAAGTAAAGTTTAATATGAGACAAAGATATAGGGATGGTGTCATGTAGCTTTGTGCATCTTTGCTGTGTAATGACCCCTTGTTTCTTCCTTTTTGGTGCTTCAAGCCATCCCTATATCCCCCTTTCATTTTGAAGAAATGATTTTTCCACTTGTACATATATAGCATGCATGCGTACAATGTTTCATCTCCATGCGTGGTATAGCAATTTTAGGAGCAGAGAACTAACTGCAAACTTGTTCAAACAATAATATTGTGTGTTCGTCATGTAAAATGATGTAATACGCTTGCGTACATCTCCATGTGTGCTACTGATAACATGGTTATGGAGTGAAGAAGACATTTAAAAGAAAGGTTGCGGAGGCTATAGTTACCAAGACAACGTGTGGTCGTCATAATGTGCATGCGCACCAAGTCTCACGTCCATGTGTGCTACTGTTAGCAAGTTTGAGGAGTGAAGAAGCAATTTTTGAAAAAGTGCCTTAGGTTATTTGTTGTTGTTCAAATACATGGTGGACAAGACATAAAATTACGCATGCGTACCAATTGTCATCTCCATATGCACTAGCGTTTGCAAGTTTGAAAGAAAATTTCCACAAATACTGTATATGTTTGTGAAGAGCCTCGGGAAGCTTTTTTTAAAATTACTCCTCAACGGTACCTTGCACTGACAAAAACATTGTACGCATTTCCATAACGACTGCATGTTAACCTACATGTTTGTAGACAACAACACATGGTCTCAAGATATTATCTTGAATTTGAAATTTCTACCTCACTCCTCCAAACTTGCCAACCGTATATAACATGCATATCGATGAATCTTGGTACGCATGTGTATTACATCGTTTCAATGCATAGATAACACAACAAATAGCCTCAAAAACTCTTCTTTAAAAATATGAATGCGCACGCGCATATTTTGCCTCGTGCCTGCCAGCCAATGCGTAAACAGTCTGACTGAGGCCGCTCGTGCGCGCGCTCTACTGACTGCGCGCGAAGCCAGACTTTCTACGAATCTGTGCACACGGCGGAATTTACATTCCTAAGCGTGACTAATTGCCATTCCCTAAGCGTGACTAATTGACATTCCCTAAACGTGACTAATTGACATTCTTAAGCGTGACCGACACGTACGTACGTACCTATGCATATCGCGAGAATACAACCAGGAGTAGTAGCCTCGCACTAATGCTCTCGGCAATTATATTTTATCATTGCTGACGCATAGAGATGAAACTTGTACGCACTTGTAGTACATCGTTTCCATGACAACCACACATTGTTGGAACAACAACAACTGGTTTCAGGAATTGTACTTCTTACTTCTTCAATCCTCAAACTTGCTAATGGTAAAACACATACAGATAAAACTAGGAATGCATGCATGCTACATCATTTCCATGACAACCACACGTTCGTATACAACAACAACTATTTTTCTCCATTATTACTTTTCATAGGGGCTTGCCCCTTTCACAGAGACATACGTAGAAGTATGAGTTGAGACAAGTAAAATAAAAGTCCAGCGAATTTAAAAAGGAGGCATATTATTATAGGGATGGTATAAAATGAAATGGAGACAAGATATATATGGATGGGATACATGAAGCATGGTTAATGAAAAGATTTAAGCATGCTGACAACCCCGATCCCATCACACAATCCCGGTCGACTTCTTAGAGGGACAATAACAGGTCTGTGATGCCCTTCGATGTTCTGGGCCGCACGCGCCTATATTGTTGCCTAGGTTAAGTATTAAGCAATCACTATTGCAGATTGAGGCTATTTGTTTTTGTAAACAAAAACCTGGTCACCGAATACACAGTGTACACAAAGCATAGTACTTGCCATTTGTTAGTTACACTAACACATGTGTCCCTATAATAATCAATTCCCTATGGCTATTTGTTGTTGTTTAAATAAGCATGACGTTGCACATGTGCTTATCGATAAATACGGTCCTGCAAATTTCCACGGCTTCATCTGTTTTGGTTATATTGGAAATAGAAGAAGAAGATGAACAAAACTTCAAATGCTCCATATATCTATGATGCTTGGTTGACTTAATAAGCACCCTGTCAAATTACGGCCTAGGAAAGGGAGGTTCCGATCAGGAAGCCAAGCTGAGTTTAATTCATCGAATGCAGTATCACTAAGTACGGTATTGTAACTACTACTCTTACAAAGTGCCCCAGTTTCAGTATAGTCCCACCCCATTGTAACTACCATTGTTTTAGCTATAACAGCGGCAATTTTTTATAGCAAGCAAATGCGAGATTCACACAAGCTTTGGATCATGTATACATTATTACAAAGTAACACACTTTTGTAGCTGACTTTAAGGCAGTATAGACACGGTATGGAAGAACTACACTAGAAGCAACGATTGTAGAAAGGAGATCACTAAGTACGGTAGTACTTAGTATATAGGGATGACACAGGTTGTCCTGCATTATGCCCATACATTGAGATTTTCATGTTTCACTTTCTATTTCAATCAGATCCAAATTTTGACACATTTGTATCGTAAGAGCATGTATCCAAGAAATAGCTTAAATCACATAATTGGTACTTTGTTCCCAGGCTACAAAATGGTTATAAACGGCGTGCTTCCGCGGTACTGGATACTATATCCACTCAACTGTATACCATCCTCGGGCTCAGTCCGCCCTCGCACAGGACGGTGAACGGCTTCGGTTATAATAATATTAGTGCCTGTGGGTTAACCATACGTAACAAACGCTACTCTTACAAAGTGCCCCAGTTCAGTATAGTACCACACCACCAATTGTAACTACCATGTGTTTAGCTATAACAGCGGCAATTTTTTATAGCAAGCAAATGTGAGATTTACACAAGCTTTGGATCATGTATACATTATTACAAAGTAACACACTTTTGTAGCTGACTTTAAGGCAGTATAGACACGGTATGGAAGAACTACACTAGAAGCAACGATTGTAGAAAGGAGATCACTAAGTACGGTAGTACTTAGTATATAGGGATGACACAGGTTGTCCTGCATTATGCCCATACATTGAGATTTTCATGTTTCACTTTCTATTTCAATCAGATCCAATTTTGACACATCAGACTAATTTGTATCGTCGCAAATACGATGTATCCAAGAAATAGCTTATATCGCATAATCGGTACTTGATTTGTTCACTTTTCAATTTTCTTCTTCTTCTTCTTGTTGTTGTTGTTGTTGTTGTTCAGTTTCAACAAGCGTATCTCAAAAACCAGTTAAGATATGGAGATCAAACTTTACACAAAGATTGCAATCCATGACAGGTCGTGCAAGAGCATTTTTATTTCTTCGTAGACAATTTTGGTTACATGTAAACAACAAAAAATAGCCCCTGGCGATACATTATTATAGAGACAAATAGAGTGTGCTAACTGGGTAGAGCTACTACAGAGAGTGATAAAACTTTGTACACAAATACAACCCATCACTAGTATCAAAATGTAAACATTACAAGTTTGTAAACAACAACAAACAGCCTCAGGCAATAAAAACTTGTAAAATGTGTTTGTGCGTACAACTTGGGTCCTCTAACAATGAAACTTAGTACACTCATGTACCATGACGAGAGTTGATTGAAACAGAAATTACAAGTTTGTTGACAACAACAAATAGCCTCAGGCAATAAAACCTTGTAACTATATTTATTGCCTATAACTTGCTTATGTGGTGGAACGTCTAACCATGAAAGTGGTGACACATGACTTTACGAGAGGTGGAAGAAGGGGCTGCCCAGAGCGGGGGGGTCGGATAGCGATTGAGGTTTCGCTGTGTCTTTTGGGAGAGCGCCGGGTGAGTACTCTTTCCCATCCTGCTCACTTGTTGCTCCTGTGGAAGCTTTGGAGACTGTTCGAACTGGGGAAATAGCGGTTTAGGAGTCGGTGGGCCCAACAGCGCATTCTTTTGTTGCGGATAGTGAGGGGAGCGGAGTAGATTGTGAGCGTGGGAGTAAGGCGAGGGGAGGTGAGGGCCGTGGTTGCTGGATGGTTGTGAGTGAGCGGGAGACCCCCTAGCTTGCTGTGTTCTTATCGTTGATTGAAAGCCTCAGCGGTGAGAAGTTCGCAGAGGTGGCCAGCGTCCGGTAGAAGCGCGGGGGGTCGGAGGATGGAGGGAAGAGCTATGTTCTTTGTACGTGGAAGGAATGAGGGAATGTAGGAAGGGGGGGAGAGGGAGGCTGTGGAGGGGGGGAGGGGGCAGGAGGGGGGGAGAAGAGTCGAGAGGGTGGGGGGGGAGGGGAAAGAGACGGTGGTCGGAGAACGCGTCGAAACCCCGCCGCCTGAGTCGGGAAGAAGCGCCTAAACCGCAGGGTTGACAAGATGTAGGGTAATTGAGGCATCCTGGTGTCCTATGTTAGTGTGCGCCTTTTTCTGGGGGGGTGAGTTGCCTAAGGCGAAGACGTGGGGGGTGGGGGGCGGGACAAGAATGCGGGGGAGTGAAGTGCGGCGGCAAGCCGAGTGGTGGGGTGAACGGTGGGTGTGTGTCACAGGGGGGATAATCGAGTGGTAAGTATTTGGATATGGCTATTAGTTAGAATTAATCTTTTGGTATAAGAGAGTTCATTGGACAACCGGACATTACAAGGTTGTAACAACAAACAAACAGCCTCAGGAATTTAATTTCTTGCCAAATGATTGTTTGTGCGTAACTGCTTATTGTGGATCCTCAACAATGAAACTTGGTACACTGGATTACCTACGATTAAGAGGTCATTGAAAACAAGGAGATTACAACGTTTGTAAACAACACACACAGTCCGACGGCAATAAAAATAACATGT